AGGTCAAACAGGGAGAGACCGTCTGCCCTATCGCACTGTAGGAAAAGCTGAAGATCATCTACCCAGACCTCAAAGTCAACTGCCCGACCCTCAGCGTCAAAGGTGAGAACACTAGGGGAGGCCATGACAGCAGTAGACAGGCAGTGAGTACAGTGGGGCAGGGCAGTGCAGTGGTAGAGGCGGTGCTCTTACCAGGCAAGTGGGGCAGGCGGCAGCGCCTCGGCTGCGGTGCGGCTCGGCGGCTCGGCGGCTCGGCTGCTGGGCGGCTCGGCGGTCGGGCGGCTCGGCTGCTGGGCGGCTCGGCTGCTCGGCGGCTCGGCTGCTCGGCAGCTCGGCTGCTCGGTGGCTCGGCTACTCGGCGGCTGGGCGGCTCGGCGGCTCTGGCGCTGGGCGGCTGAGTGGCGACGGGGCCGCAGAAGGGCGGCGACGGGGCCGCTGAAAGGGCGGCGACGGGCCGCTGAAAGGGCAGCGACTGGCCGCTGAAAAGGCGGCGACGGGGCCACGGAAGGGTGGCGACGGGGCCGGTGAAGGGCGGCAACGGGGCCGTGGAAGGGCGGCGACGGGGCCGCTGAAAGGGCGACGACGGGGCCGCTGAAGGGCGGCCGCGGAAGGGCGGCGTCGGGGCCGCGGAAGGGCGGCAACGGGGCCGCGGAAGGGCGGCGTCGGGGCCGCGGAAGGGCGGCGACGGGGCCGCTGCAAGGGCGGGCGGCAAGGCCGTGGAAGGGCGGCGACGGGGCCGCGGAAGGGCGGCGTCGGGGCCGCGGAAGGGCGGCGACGGGGCCGCTGCAAGGGCGGGCGGCGAGGCCGTGGTAGGGCGGCGACGGGGCCGCTGAAAGAGCGGCGACGGGGCCGCGGAAAGGGCGGCGACGGGGCCGCTGAAAGGGCGGCGACGAGGCCGCGGAAAGGGGCCACGAGGGCGGTGCGAAGAGGGCCGCAAGGGCGGCGCGACGGGGCCGTGAGGACGGCGCGACGGGGCCACTAGGGGCCGTGAGGGAGGCCGCTAGAGGCTACGAAGGGAAGTCACACGAGGCGCGACTCGGGCAAGGGCCAAGCGCGCTCCGGGCAGGAAAAAAAAGGTCGGTGGGCCCTAGGAACAGTTCCCACGGGGGAACCTGCTCTATACCATGTGAGAATTAGAACGAGAATGTGATTGAACTATGAAACAGTTGGGTACAAGTACTAACCCTCATTAGGTTGTATCCCTTATGGGCTACCCCACTACAACCTACACAGATGTATAAGCTATAATGTTCTAACATTTCCCTGCTTTGGAGACTCCCTCTCCTGCTCTGCTCCGCGGTGCCTTAGCTCCTCTGGGCATTCGCTCTTGCGATGGCCCGGCCTGTTGCAAGCAAAGCAGCGCCCCTTAACGGCGCGGCAGCTGCATTCGTCGCAACAGCGTGTACAGTGGCGTGCTCGATCGGTCCCCGAGGACGATGTCCATAGTAGGACCCCGGTCTCGGACGGCGTAAAATGTCGATTTTCTCGGCGAGCGTGAGAATCTCGTTGAAGTTCGAGAGCCCGCGTAGCATGATTTCGTGCGAGATGTCCGGCTTCAGCCCTCCGACGTAACGGTCCACCTGCTCCGCTTCGTGCATGTAGCCAACTTGTTCGCATAATGCGAGAAAACCACTCGTATAGTCTTGAATCGATCCAAGTTGCCGCCAAGTGCGCAATCTCTGACGCGCCGAAATAGAAGCCGCGATCGGCTCGAAGCGCGCCCGAAGCCCTGCGCACCACGCATCCCACGTGCTGTATTGGGCGGTCTCGCAGAATGAACTCCAGGTGACAGCTGGGCCTGTGGGCCCTTCCTCTTGCGACGGTGGCTCGTAGGCGCGTGGGGACGTCACGATGACTCGCCACCAGTCCATGGCGGGGCTCCTTAGCAGCGAAACGGCATACCGAATCTTCGCTGCGTCCGACTCGACGTAATTCGCGTCGAAGAAGACGTTCATCGTGAAGACCCACGATTGAACCGTCGGACCTCCACGCTGGCTCGGGTCGAAGCAGGGCGGGCGTTGCGGCTTGAGTGGCATTGGTGCCATAGATGCCTGTTCGCCACTTGTCGCCGCGAACTCCACGTGCTGACGGGCTTCGCGAGGCTCCCGCGGGCTTGGTGCGACCCTGTTTCCTCCCATGCCAGGCATCGGCTGGGCGGCGCCATCGCTGGCTGCGCCTGAGCGCCGTCCCACGCTGTTGTTTTGTGTTGGTGTGCCGGACGAGATGACCATCGGCTTGTCTGATTGTGCAGATGCATTTGTCGGTGCGTGTGGTGGCACTGGAGTGTTCATCGTTGATTGCTGACGTGCGGAGTCACGTTCCGCCATGAGCGTCGCAAATTCGAGCGCCGAATCTTCAAGTTGGCGCACCATACGGTCGAGCTGCTCCTGCGTCAATGTGGCGAGCGTGAATTCGGCCATGGCGGGGGTGTCGGGCGAGCTCAGCGAGAGCCTCGGTCGTGGCCGTGCGTGCTTATGAGAGAGCAGTACGAGCGGCGGTGCTGTGTCACTGAGAGACGTCTAACCCCCTCAAAAATTGAGATAGTGGAGAAGCGAAGGTGTGGGTGTGGTCCGAGAGGAGATCGTAGGCTCTGAATACCAAGTGTTACGAGTGTGATTGAGTGAACGAACGAGAATTGCACTATCGAAGCAAGAGTCCAATGGGCGAAGGCATGAGCGAAGAATATATAGCAAAACTACAGTGGTAACGGTAATGGACTGTGGTTGTCGCGCAACGGGCTTGGGACTGAGGTTGGGAAAAAGTGTCGAAGCGGAGGCCCGGAGCGCGGGTTACCCGCCGAGCGGTGAGGTCGGGGTGCGATGTGCAAAGGTGGCGGGCAGGGCCTTTTTTTTTTTTTTTTTTTCACTACTCGGATTTCCAGAGCTGTTTTCTAGAGAACTCTGAAATTCAGGGTTCATTATGAGCGTTACTCTGATTTGACAGAGAAAACTTAACTTCTGAAAAGTACACTCTGGGCCCTCAGTGTATCTATTTTCCAACTCTGAGTGACCTCCAAGTATTGAACCCAGTCCTTCTGCACTCCTACCAGAAACATTAAGCGTTGTGCTACGCGCTCACCATTCTTCTCGATTACGGATTATAATAACTCCACTTACTCTGCCCATCTTCCAACAATTGGGGGGGGGAAGGGGGGTGCGGGGGGGGGTCGGTCGAAATGCCTATACCCTGTATAGAGAAAAGTACATCCGCCACAAATATACACTGGTCTCTCAGAGAAGCTAAAATCAGAACCCTGACAAATCAGAGAAAACTTATCCTCCAAAAAAATTACCCAGACACGTCAGAGTGACCCCCTAAAAACCACTCTGATTTTCAGAGAAACAGAATAATTTACTCTGATAAAAAAACCCCTGGTGGCGGGCGGATTGTCGATGCGAGGGTTGCGAGTGGTAACGGTGCTGACTGTGGTGCTACAGTGATGTACGCGTTGAGCAGGGATGCGAAGTAAGGAAAATGAATTTTCCTTACAATTACACGTTTCTATCCCTTGGTTGCGCCAGACGCTTCGTTTCCGCCGTTCCGCGGTGTATTCCCCTGCCCAATCTCTGTACGAAATTGGTTGGCATCGCCTGCCAAGTTTGAATCCCTCGCGCCAGCTATCCGTACCCTTAACATTTCGCTGTTGAATCAGACCCCGTGAAAGGGTGTACACAAACATTGCCCCCAAAAACCACCCGCGGCCCAAATTGCGGGCCGCGCGGGTCAAGCTTTTAAAACTTGACTTACTAGTGTTTGCGAAGTAAAAAAAAAAAAGCGCGCCTGCAATTTGGGACTTTCGGGGACTGAACCAACCCCAAGGGCGAAATACAAGGGCGGGCTGGGTTCGGCGAAAAAAACGAAAGAACCAAAATCGAAAAGTTTCGCCAAACCCCAGACCAGAAAAAACCCCTTGCGTCAAGCTTTTAAAAGTTGTGCAATTTGGGCTGCCGGCTTTAACGGGTTAATAGCATGATTAACACACGGGAGCACCTACATTGGTAGCTCCGAAGATCCAGGTGGCAGCCATGGCTGCCTTGGAGTCATTGTCATTGTCATGTTCCGGCCATTGGCGGCAAGGTATTGTGGGTGCAACTGGCTGGTAAAAAAAACACGGGTGCAGACTTATGTACAAGGTAGGAGGAAAGGGAAAGTATACTCTTATTACACTGACCAACACATGGTACATGCAGCAATATATACATGAGATGCAATAGCATGGCATTGTCAAGGTTGTAGGAGGCGTCGTGCTATGATGAGTCGCATTATCTCGTTTGTACCCTCCAGAATGGTGTGCACTCGAAGATCCCTCAGATATCTCTCCACCTAAACAGGTGTGTAATGATAAGTTGGATTTGAGTAGGATGCAGAGGTGGAGGAAGCAGACGCACGGACATGTGAATGCGTATATGTATATATGAACATATGCTATTAATCTGTAAGAAATGTATATCGCTACGTACCATATGTCCAAATAGAACAGCAGAAGAGTGTAAACACACCCACATACAGAGGCAGGTGTGGGGAGGAAAGCAACGTACGGGGTAGTCTTGTAAGAACCCATAGCCTCCGAGCATCTGTAACGCCTGATTGGCCACCTGGTAACAATTATCCGTTGCAAACCTGAATGGGAAATGGGGAAACGCACGAAGAGAATGCAAATCAGCACACAAGCAAAAAAGGCATCGCTCTGGGGGGGCATTGCAGGAATGACAGGGAAAGGGTGGGTGGGAGGGAGAGGAGAGGGCAGTGGGATGGGGGAGTATGGTCGTATAACTAGCTCGTTGTGGATCCCATCCTTGCGCAACAAGTGTGCTGACTCCACACCCACCCAGCAAGCACCCACCCCTTACCCTAGCAGTGGCTGTGGGGCCCAGGACGTTTTCAGTTCAATGGCAGTGGCAACACCGCGAACCATCATGCGAGATGCCTCCACTGCTGCTGCCACACAGAGGGTGCTGATTCCACACCCACACACCACCCACCCAGCACCCACCCAAAATTCACCTCTTGGCCATGGCAGCAGCCGTGGTGGCCCAGGGTGCTTTCACATCAATGGCAGTGGCGGCGTTGCGAACCATCAGGCGAGATGCCTCCACTGCTGTTGCCATGTCAGCCAGTTGGAACTGCGTGTTCTGAAAGGCCGTGATTGGCTTGCCAAACTGCATGTAAGGGGGGAGGGAGGAGAGATGGACCGGGTAGGGGGAAATCATGTCCCACTAGCACCATGAGGCTAGCTGCCTCCACTGCTGTTGCCATGTCGGCCAGTTGGAACTGCGTGTTCTGAAAGGCCGTGATTGGCTTGCCAAACTGCATGTAAGTGGGGACCCAAGGCAAGGGAAGAGGAAGACAAACAAAAGAGAGGAGGCGTTACCACTACTAGCAGCAGCATGGGGAAAGTGCCTCCACTGCTGGTGTCATGTGGACCAGCTGGAACTGCGTGTTCTGGAAGGGCGATGCGGGGCAGGAGAGAGAAGAAAGAGAGGCGGGGAGGGGTAGAAAAGCTGCTGTCATGTGGACCAGCTGGAACTGCGTGTTCTGGAAGGGCGATGCGGGGCAGGAGAGAGAAGAGAGAGAGGCGGGGAGGGGTAGAAAAGCTGCTGTCATGTGGACCAGCTGGAACTGCGTGTTCTGGAAGAATGTGATTGGCTTGCCAAAATGGGAGTCGAGGGGGAGGGGAGGGAGAAAAAAAAACAGTTGTTGGGAGGAAAAGAAGGAGAAGGGGTGGTGGTTAGAAAAACAGGAAGAGGGTTGGTGGGAGGAAAAAGAGGAAGAGGGGCGGCTAAAGGAAAAAGAGGAGGAAGAGGGTTGGTACGAGGAAGTTGGGTGGTGCAAGCAAGCATACCTGTTTCCTGTCCGTTGCATACTGCTGAGCATACTCAAGACAGAACTGCGCCCCTCCCACACTGCACAGACAGCACGGGGAAAAAGGGGAGGGAGGGAGTGTGCATAACAATGTTTGACTGACTGCAGATCAGCCTGCTCTGCTCCGTTGCATACTGCTGGGCATACTCGAGACAGAACTGCGCTCCTCCCACATTGCACAAAATGGGGGAGAGGGGAGAGAGGGAGGGGAGGAGTAGAAACCATTTGATTGGAGCCTAACAAAACGGATTCTCACACAGTTCACAGACGGACGGATAGATCAAGAGCCGAGGAAGGGGGAGGTAGTGAGCAATGAGGTGCGGTGAGGTGCGGTGAGGTGCGGTGAAGAGAGGACCCACCCACCTGCATGCACCAATGTTCACTCTCCCACCATCCAGCCCAGTCATTGCTATTCGAAAGCCGTTGCCCCTTCCCCCGATAAGGTTTGCTGCCGGCACCCTCACATCCTCCAAAATGACCTGATATATGGGGACACAGGGACAGAGGGAGAAAGAAATTTGCAGAGCAGGAATGACCTTTGAGTTGACTCGAACATGCCAGCACCCCTCACATCTCCAAAATGACCTGATATATTTTCCATCAGGTGAGGGTGCGACAAACATGCAAAGGAAAGGAGGAGTCGGGTCACAAAGGCACGACGGTAGAAAGAGGGTTTTTTAGGTGATTCAAACGTGCCGGCACCCTCACGTCCCCCAAAATGACCTGATAAGTAGACGTACAGGGAGATGCATAGCAGGAGTGGGGTGAGGTGAGGTGAGGTGAGGTGACATGCGGTGAGGTGTGGTGCTTCAGTAACAACCTGGGCCCTACCCACCGCAGCAGTGGGCTGTGAGTTCCATCCGACACGAATGATACCCCAGCAGAGGGCTGTGTGAGATGCAGTGCGGTGATGTCAGGTGAGGTGAGGTGAGATGTGGTGCACCAAAAACCAGCTGGGTCTGACTCACCGCAGCAGTGGGCTGTGAGTTCCATCCGAGTTTCTTCTCCAGCTGCCCGAATGATAACCCGGGCATGCCCTGTGCACACACAAACAACCACCATCAGTCAACATAGGCGCAGAGACGGGCATGGGCACGGGCGGGGCACGGGCATGGGTACGGGCAGGGGCATCGAGTTTAGAATACGTCTGGGAGAACAACCACGAGCAGTGGGACACTCCCTTTTGCCCCTCGACGTAAACCACTCTACCTTCTCCACTAGAAAGCACGGCACCCTCTTCACCCCCTCCCCATCTGTCCATAACCACATATACGCATCAGCAGCACTCTTGGAACATCTCAAACTGCCCCATCCCTTCGCCTCACGCCATCCGCACACTCCTACCTACCTTCTCCACCAGGAAGCATGATATCCCCTTAGGCCCCTCCCCGTCTGTGCGCGCCATCACCACATACACATCAGAAGCCGTTGCTCCACTGATGAACGCCTGTGGGATGAGCAGAATGAGGGGGAGACAGGGAGCATGAGGAGGGCGGGAACGGATGGTGAGTAAGGCAAAAGTTGGCAATAATCTCTTTTCTCCCTCTTTGTCTGTACACCTGTCACGATGTTACGTGTCACTCCGCTAAGATGCTTTCAGTGAACATGTGTCTTTGTTGGCTGTGAACAAGGATGCGGTGAGTGCCTAGAGACTTGCACCAAAATTATGCGTGATGGGTACTCTTTGTATTGACAACCTGTCTCTTGTCAAGTTCATTTTCTTTAAGGAGATTCGTCAGTTCTGATAAACTCTGTTCAACACCCCATCCGAACAAAGTAAATCAGAGTTGACGAATCCTTCTGAAGAGAATATGCCTATCAAGAAGTAAGTTCTCGATAAAAAGGATACGCATCACGCATAATTCACGTGCATATATCTAGGCACGCACCGCATCCTTGTTTACAACCAACATAAAACCCATGTCCACTGAAAGTATCTTAGTGGACTGAGCAACAAGATTGACATGTAACACTGTCGAACAGGGATGGAAGGCGTGATGGGGGAAGGGTTGAGGAAGGGAGGAAGGGAGGGAAGGAGGAAGGGAGAGAGGGAGGGAGGGAGGGAGGGAGGGAGGGAGGGAGGGAGGGAGGGGGGGAGGGAGGGAGCGAGGGAGGGAGGTACCTTGGATCCATTCAGAATGTAATCTGTAGAGCCGGTGGCCTGCCTCGCCGTCGTCTGTAGTGGAAGGGGATTCAAATAACAAAGCAGGGAACGGATGCTAGTTTTAATATGGTGATCTTGGTGCAAACCAACGCAGGGTAGTACGGTCTTACCAGGGTAAGGCGGGTGGAGGCAGTCACAGAGGTTACAATAGGAGGAAATGCAAGCCTTTGTAACGGCTACGCACAGGCTCATCTTGAGCCAAACGGGGAAATCGAACCAAACGGGGAAATCGAACCAAACGGGGAAATCGAACCAAGACTGTTGCAATGCCATGCCGTGCTGTGCAATTCCATGCCAAGCCATGCTGTGTTGTGCTATCCCATTCCATGCCATCCCATGCCATGCCTTCCCATGCGATGCCATGTCATCCCATACCACGCCATACCATTCCATACCATGCCATGCCATACCGTGCCATACCCATGCCATGCCTGTGCCATGCCCATACCATGCATGTGCCATGTCTGTCCATGACACCCAGTCCCCATCCTCACCTTGAAAGCAGCGGCATCGCTGCCGCTGCCAGGCTCCATGAGGCAATACGAGGAGAGAGCAGGTCCTGCCCATGGGATGCCATACCGTACCGTACCATACCACACCATGGCATACGATCCGGTCCCCATGTCTCACCTTGAGAGCAGCAGCATCGCTGCCACTGCCAGGCTCTGTGAGGCAATACGAGGAGAAGAGGTCCTGCCCATGGGATGATGGTGGAGGGAGGAGGGCAATAGGAGCACCCATATCATGACTGTAGTGAAACAAGAGGAGATTTTTTAGTCGACTAAAAAATTGCGCACAGGATGGTGGTCACGATTTTTTTAGGCGCCTAAATTGTTGTCTCAATAGGAGCACCCATCTAATGATTGCATTATAAGCGTACAAGATGGTGGTAACGAGTGCATCCATATTGGAACAAGCATAAGGGAGTGCGTGTTGGATAGCAGCGCCGCTACCACTGCCATTGTGTGAAGCAATTAGAGGAGATGAAATCCTCGCCATGAGATGGGGGTGGAAAAAGAGTAAGTTGGTGTGACTTTTGAGAATTCTCAAGAGTAACAGGAGCACCTATGTTGGGTCAATTGCATAGGGTGTTGGTGGGGAAGGGCCCATGGGTACGGCGATACAGAGCATTGCGATGCGGTGGAAAGTGGTGCAGTGTGCAACCACTCACCATTGTTGCCAGGGCTGGTAGCCATTTTTGCTGCTGCTCCTCCGATCCGAACCTGATTCGAATGGAATGAGCCAAGCAGGAGAGTGAATTTACTGGGTGAGAGAAGTCGAATGAAATCAAGTCAGACAAAGCAAAGAAGGAACGACATACAGAAACAGGACAACGGGAGGGAGGTGAGTCAGAGAAGTTGGAGTAATCTACCTTTCGCTTTTTCAAACCCACTGCCCATAGCACACGATCACCATCATCATGCCATGTCATCACGCCATCCCTGCCACGTCATCACGCCATCCCTGCCACTTCATCACGCCCATCTCTGCCACGTCATCACAACCGTCCCCCACCTGTCGATGATGCTCGCATTCATGTTGTGGATCGTGAGATACGCCGTCGTGCTGACGTCAGCATGCGCCAACGCCTCAAATACCACCGCCCCGTCAGCCCGGCCCAACCTGCTCATGACACGTGGCAGGTGGCAAGAGTGAGGGCAGTGTGCCACGTGGCAAAAATCTCACAGCCGAGCAGCGAGCATGACACGTAAACCCACCACAGCTCAACTCACCCCGACCCTCGTGCAAGCAATCACTCCCAGTGGTCCAAATACCGCTGAACCGACTTTTGAGTCGACTCAAGAGACTTGTGAGGTGCCTGTTGAGTCGACTCAAGAGACTTTTGAGGTGCCTGTTGAGTCGACTCAAGAGACTTTTGAGGTGCCTGTTGAGTCGACTCAAGAGACTTTTGAGGTGCCTGTTGAGTCGACTCAAGAGACTTTTGAGGTGCCTGTTGAGTCGACTCAAGAGACTTTTGGTCCAAATACCGTGAAACCGACTCACCCTCGTGCAAGCAATCAACCCCAGTGGTCCAAATACCGTTAAACCGACTCACCCTACCCCCCATGACTTTTGGGTCGACTCAAAGGTAAACTCGCCCCGACCCTGATGCAAGCAATCACTCCCAGTGGTCGAAATACCGCTCACCAGACTCACCCAGACCCCCCCACGTCTTCTCTGACAAAGAGAGCAGCAAAGCCCAGCCCTGCTGCCTTGCGAAGCACGTCCACTGGGAAGTGCTTCTGCGCATCCCACTCTGCCGCACGTGGCAGCAGCTCATTGGCTGCGAAGTCCTGCTCGCAAGGGATGGGGAAAATCGGCGGGGGGGAAGAAAAGAAGGGGGAAGTGGGTGGAATGAGGGGAGGGGGAAGAGAGGCATGGGAGGGGAGAGGCGGTGGAGGCGACGTGTGCCCCCACCATGGACGCGTCGACTGCTCTATCTTGGGTAGAGGAAAACCGCGGACTTCCATTTTCGAATTGGGAGTCTCACCTGTGCCCACCGAGTTTCACCTGATCCCACCGAGTTTCAGCCCACCGAGTTTCACCTGAGCTAAGGCGCGGAACTCGAGCTGGTGGGGCGTGAGGCCGTGCGAGGAGGTGATGGACGCGTGCGCCCCCCCCATGGACGCGTCGACCGCGCCGTCGGGCGGCGACGAGGCGGCCGCGGCGGGCGACGCGGCGAAGGGCGAGAAGGACGTGGCGGAGAAGGCGGAGAAGGCGGAGGAAGGGGAGAAAGCGGAGCGGGAAGCTGGGGAGGGAGAGGAGGAAGCGGAATGATATGAGGCGGCGGACAGTGATGGAGGGATGGATGATGGCGAATGATTGAGGTGGCGTGGCGACAGGCTGCGAAACGCTGGCGACGCTCGTCGCAGGAGCTGAACCAAGGAGCGGCGCGCCATCGAGGGTTGCTTATGCTGCTACCAGCGGTGGGGGTAAGTACCACTCGCTCCTGAATTACCCCTCTTCGGACAGAACGCTGCTGTGGTCACGCTCCTAAATTAGTACTTCTCCTTATTCGAGAAATCCGAGATAAAAAAAAAATGCGGCTCGAGGGTCACGTAGCAGCACGTAGATTCTAGGCTCTAGTCTCATGCGAGCCACGTGCATGGGCAGCGCGCGTCGCTGGCGAGTTGTTGAAGGAGAAGCTACTACGAGCAACGCGGGACGAGGACTCGTGTCTCGTGACTGGAGAGCTCAGCGCAAGACCAAAATCTAAGAAATGCATCGTGAATTTCGAGAAAATATATCAGCCGGGGTGTGTGTGTGTGTTCCTAGAGGCTCGGTAGGACTTCTGCCTGAAGCTCCCTGTGTTTGGTCTGACGGAACCGTAGCAAACGCTCTCTTTTCGGGAAGCAGTTTCAGGCCAATGAAACATCCTCGCGAAGCAGTCGCGAGAACTACGGGAGGTTTGGTAACGACGTAAGGTGTCGTAGGTATTGCCGAACCTGACAGTGTAGCTCTCTTGCTACTGATGACATCACAATGTAACATGAAGCGTGGATCTGACGCTAACCGCGTCAGATGTTACGTGAACGAGCTAACCAATGGTATGCGAGTTCGATACCCGCAGTCCGATACCCGTACCACAAGTGAAGCATTCAGATAGTGAATAGGAAAATTTATAAATCCCCTTGGTTACACGCATATAAAGGTTTTAGAGTTCCTGGTTCGTATTCTCATTCATATTACCATGCACTGCACGCAGCAACCCAAGCCTAGCTCCAGTCCTTTGCGAGAAGCCCCAAATACAAAGCAAGCTGACTGCCCACCAACAGCGTAAGCGGCCCTATCGCCCGTAGCAAGCGAAGAAAAGCAATCTTGGGCGTCAGGTTCGCCCCCTTGGCAAGCGTCGCCATTAACCCATCGCCTCCTGATTCACCACCACCACCACCTCCAGATGCTGTAGCACCGTCTTTTGAGACGTCTGTGAATGATCCGATTCGAGGAACGCCGGAGCTGCCACCGGCGTCCATTAACGAATCATGCGACCCCTGTTGCCGGGATGCCCTTAGCTGTGCCCCGCCAGGTCTGAAAATGGAATCAGAAGCAGGAGACAAGATGCATAGAAGTTAGTTGATGATCATGCGAGCACAGAGGGGTAAAAAGGACTTCACAGACTGCACCTGGTAGCACCCGATAGCACCTGACGTTTCATTTCTATACGCACAACTGAAGAGGCATGGGAACTCACCTCCTATCAGATGTGACTGAAGAGGGCATGGTGTCTGGAAGTCTCGGAGTCGCCCTCCTTACAAGCACCATGTTGCCATCCGTGTCAAACATGGGCTCCAGCTCCCCCTCCCAATCCCCATCTGCTTTCAGCTTGGGGAGTGTCCATGCCTCTCTGCTCGCTGCTGCCACGCGCGCTGCCAGCGCTGCCAGGGACGCCCAGGAGACGCCTCGTGAGGGCAGCAGGAGGAAGGCAAGGCAGGAGAGGAGCGAGAGGAGGAAGTACCTGGGGGAGTGGGGGGTGGGGGGAGTGGGAGGGGACGTTTGAGTGAAGTGATGCCCAGGAGACGTGTCTGAAGCTCACAGACTAGAAGCAAAGACGCCCCCTCGTTCTTTTCCAAAACCTAGAAGCAAAGACGCCCCCTCGTTCTTTTCCAAAACCTAGAAGCAAAGACGCCCCCTCGTTCTTTTCCAAAACCTAGAAGCAAAGACGCCCCCTCGTTCTTTTCCAAAACCTAGAAGCAAAGACGCCCCCTCGTTCTTTTCCAAAACCTAGAAGCAAAGACGCCCCCTCGTTCTTTTCCAAAACCTATAAGCAAAGACGCCCCCTCCTTCTTTTCCAAAACCTAGAAGCAAAGACGCCCCCTCCTTCTTTTCCAAAACCTAGAAGCAAAGACGCCCCCTCGTTCTTTTCCAAAACCTAGAAGCAAAGACGCCCCCCCGTTCTTTTCCAAAACCTAGAAGCAAAGACGCCCCCTCGTTCTTTTCCAAAACCTATAAGCAAAGACGCCCCCTCCTTCTTTTCCAAAACCTAGAAGCAAAGACGCCCCCTCGTTCTTTTCCAAAACCTAGAAGCAAAGACGCCCCCTCGTTCTTTTCCAAAACCTAGAAGCAAAGACGCCCCCTCGTTCTTTTCCAAAACCTAGAAGCAAAGACGCCCCCTCGTTCTTTTCCAAAACCTAGAAGCAAAGACGCCCCCTCGTTCTTTTCCAATACCTAGAAGCAAAGACGCCCCCTCGTTCTTTTCCAAAACCTAGAAGCAAAGACGCCCCCTCGTTCTTTTCCAAAATCCAGAAGCAAAGAACGAGGAAAACAGAGCTTGGGAGAAGGGACATACCTGGAACATCAGTATGGCGTACCAGGGAGGGAAGAGGATCAGTATGGGTAGGCAGCACACACAGCTGCACGTGCACTGACGCTGCTCCCAACATCGCTTCTTAGGGGTCTTACAAGTAACGCGGTCTTACCAGGGAGGGAAGAGGATCTGCGTGGGCAGCACACACAGCTGTACGTGCACTGACACTGCTCCCAACGTTGGTTTCTGCTGCTGCCCCTGCTGCTGGCTGGAGCTTCTGTGAGGGTGGTGGTGGTGGAGGGGAACGGTGACGAGCAGGAATGCAGGCGGGTCGGTGATGGTGTGTGTGCTGTGGATGAAGTTGAAGGTTGGGAGCGACAGCTGCACACACACACGCGCGCGGCAGGGAGGAGTGATTGGAAAACACAGGGAAGAGGAGAAGATTTCATTTGCGGTCGCACACAGGCGGGCGGTTGGGTGATGGTGTGTGTGCTGTGGATGAAGTTGAAGGTTGGGAGAGACAGCTGCACACACACAGGGGTGGAGAGGGAGGAGTGATTGGAAGAAGGCAGGGGACACGATGATTGGGAGGCTACACAGAGGCAGGAGGGTGGGAGATGGCATGTCGCTGTGAATAGAGTTGAAGGTGGGGAGCGGTGGGTGTGCATGTGAAAATTCTACTTTTGCGGCACACACACACACACACACACACACACACACACACACACACACACACACACACAGACACACAAAAAAAAGGACGACTTTTGAAGTCTAATTCTCGCAAAAGTTTTCTACTTCTGTGGCACAAAAAAAAAATAAAGGCTGCGGCAAGTCACTCCCAGGAACAGCATTGTTCCCTCTGGGCGTTGCCTCTTCCTCCTGCCGCTGCTGCCAGCAGGTTGCCTCTGCATGCCCTGACTGACTGACACCCGAGCTGCTGTTCCCCACCTCCCAACCCACCACACCCTACCCCAAACGCACCTCGACCACGTCCCAAGCAGCAGCACCCGAGCTGCTGTTCCCTCTGGGCGTCCCCCCCACCTGCCGCTGCTGCCAGCAGGTTGCCTCTGCATGGCCTGACACCACCAGAGCCTGTGGGGATGGGAGAGAGAGAGGGACGCGAGGAGAGATGGATGGGAAAGGATTATCTCCAGATGCTTTCACTGCCAGTGCTGCCACTGGTCCGACACCACCAGAGTTCTGAGACGTCTCAAAGCTGCCACTGGTCCGACACCACCAGAGGCTCCATTGGGGACAGCAAGAGAGAGGTGCATATTTTCCCCAATGCAGACCCTCCTTGACCCACTGCCACTCCCCCGACCCTCCTGGTTAACTCTATCACCCCATCCCATCCTCACTATGGTCTCATTCTCCCTATCAACAAGGTTACTTGTGAGTCGACTCAAAAATCACCAATGCCGGCCCCCATATACAACTCCCCCGACCCTCCTGGTTCACTCTATTTCCCCATCCCATCCTCACTATGGTCCCATTCTCCTCCCTATACCATCAGCGCATGCACGTACCGGTCTCAGCAGCTGAAGCAGGTGGTTGGACCCTTCCTTTGATATGGCATCCTGGTACCTGAAGGGGGGGAAGAGGCGAGAGGGGGACGGGGAGAGCCGGAAAGGCGAGGTGACTTTTGAGTTGACCCATGCGTCAGCTGCAGCAGGTGGCTGGACTCTTGGTTTGATATCGCATCCTGGTACCTGAAGGGGGGGAAGGGAGAATGAGCATGAATTCGCGTATGAAGGAGGGGACAAGAAGAGGAACGGGTTTTGAGTCGACTCAAAACTAGAGGGGGAAGGGAGAATGAATATGACTTTGCGTGTGAAGGAGGGGACAAGAAGAGGAGCGACCATGTGTGTAGGGGAGGGGAGTGAGAACGGTCAACACTGAGCAGGCAGCAGTAATGAGTGTGAATGTTGAGGTGAGTTTTGAGGCGCCTCAAAACTCACCTCAATGCTCGCGGATTTCATATGGGCGGAGAGAACAGTCAACACTTTGCAGGCATCAGTAATAAGTGTGAATGAGTCGACTTTTGAGGCGTCTCAAAAGTCAACACTGTGCAGGCACCAGTGTGAGTACATGTTTGTGAGTGGGAGTGTGCAGTGAGGGCGTGAGGGAGTGAGGGAGAGAGCTCACCTAACCTCCCCGTCCTTGTCCCAGTCCTGGGGAGCAAAAACAAAGGGGAAAGGGGGCAGGGAAGGGGAGGAAGGAGGGTTGGAACAGGTCGTTTATAAACAGGCAAGGGAACTTTGAGTCGACTCAAAAAACACATTGGGGATCAAGCACACCGCTATGTTGCATACATGATCGGGTAGGGAGCAGGGACGGAGAGCGCACCACAGTTGTGCCTTGGGCGTTGGCATCACAGGGGAGGTCGGTGGGGGAGTGGAGCGGCAGGTGTAGGAAGAGAGAGGAAATGGGAAACGAGAGACGGACGAAGGAGATTACACATGTCCACAGCTTGAACCTCAGCTTGAACCTTCAAGAAGAGAGAATGACGCCCATTCTCACCAGTGCTTGGCCTTGTGGGTTGGCTCCACAGGGGAGGTCGGTGGGGGAGTGGAGCGGCAGGTGTGAAAAGAGGATGAGCGGGAGTGAGGACGCCTGGGCACCTGCAGCAGAGCAACAGTGCAGAGACGAGAGGAAGAGATGGCAGAGAGGAACAGAGGATGAGAAGGGAAGAAGAGAAGAAGTGACCAAGAGATGAACAGGTAAGAGGATGAGCGGGAGTGAGGACGCCTGGGCACCTGCAGCAGAGCAACAGTGCAGAGACGAGAGGAAGAGATGGCAGAGAGGAACAGAGGATGAGAAGGGAAGAAGAGAAGAAGTGACCAAGAGATGAACAGGTAAGAGGATGAGCGGGAGTGAGGACGCCTGGGCACCTGCAGCAGAGCAACAGTGCAGAGACGAGAGGAAGAGATGGCAGAGAGGAACAGAGGATGAGAAGGGAAGAAGAGAAGAAGTGACCAAGAGATGAACAGGTAAGAGGATGAGCGGGAGTGAGGACGCCTGGGCACCTGCAGCAGAGCAACAGTGCAGAGACGAGAGGAAGAGATGGCAGAGAGGAACAGAGGATGAGAAGGGAAGAAGAGAAGAAGTGACCAAGAGATGAACAGGTAAGAGGATGAGCTGGAGTGAGGACGCCTGGGCACCTGCAGCAGAGCAACAGTGCAAAGAAGTGCCGAGGAAAAGAAGAGAGGAACAGGCACAACAACAAGAACAGGTAGGAAAACACAGCAAACCATACCATGCTCTGGGAGGCTCTGCAGGAACTCCTCCAGCTGCCTCGTGCTGTTGTTGCGCTGCCAGTGGCCGTCCAGAGCCAACCCGTTCACCCCCACCACCCTCTCTGCTCGCACTGCCCCCACCTTGAGGGAGTACATGCACATCATCTCACCATGGTCTGGCAGGCTCTGCAGGAACTCCTCCAGCTGCTTCGTGCTGTTGTTGCGCTGCCTGTGGCCGTCCAGAGCCAACCCGTTCACCCCCACCACCCTCACCGCGCCCACCTTGTCGTGGAAGTTCAGCGCTCCTACATACCGCTCGAAGCGCACTGCCAGCTGATGGATGGAACAGGCAGGGCAAGAGGCGGAAGGGGAGGAAAAACCTCTAAGGGGAGGCCGTTCAGTCACCCCCACCACCCTCACCGCTCCCACCTTGTCGTGGAAGTTCAGCGCTCCAACATACCGCTCAAAGCGCACTGCCAGCTGATGGAATGTGAAGAAGAAAAGAGGCAGAAACAGGGGGCAGAAACGGAGGGTGAGACACTGAGGGAGGCCGTTCAGTCACCCCCACCACCCTCACTGCCCCCACCTTGTCGTGGAAGTTCAGCGCCCCAACATACCGCTCAAAACGCACTGCCAGCTGGAAGGTGGCACGCAGCAAAAGGCATGAGAGGAGGGGAAGAAGAGGAGGGTGAGACGCTGAGGGAGGCCGTTCGTTCAACCCCACCACCCGCACCGCGCCCACCACCCGCACCGCGCCCACCACCCGCACCGCGCCCACCACCCTCACTGCCCCCACCTTGTCATGGAAGTTCAGCGCTCCAACTTACCGCTCAAAACGCACTGCCAGCTGATGGGATGAGGGGAGGTCGGGCAAGGAAACAGGCAGAAAGAGTGGAAACAGAAGAGGAGGGTGAGACACAGAGGCGGAGGCCGTTCAGTCACCCCCACCACCCTCACCGCCCCCACCTTGTCCTGGAAGTTCAGCGCTCCAACTTACCGCTCAAAACGCACTGCCAGCTGATGGGATGAGGGGAGGTCGGGCAAGGAAACAGGCAGAAAGAGTGGAAACAGAAGAGGAGGGTGAGACACAGAGGCGGAGGCCGTTCAGTCACCCCCACCACCCTCACCGCCCCCACCTTGTCCTGGAAGTTCAGCGCTCCAACTTACCGCTCAAAACGTACTGCCAGCTGATGGGATGCCGGGAGGTTGGGCAAGCAGGGAAGAGGCAGAAGAGGAGGGGAATAAAAGGGGGGTGAGACACAGAGGGAGGCTGTTCTGCTATCCCCACCACCCGCACCGCCCCCACCTTGTTGTGGAAGTTCAGCGCCCCCACATACCGCTCAAAGCGCACTGCCAGTTGATGGAACGGGGAGAGAGGCGTAAGAGGTGGGGACGACGAGGAGTTTAAGAAACCTTGTGGAAATTCATTGCCCCCACATACCGCTCAAAGCGAACTGCCCACTGATAAGCAGATGGAACGAGGGGAGGTGAGTCAGGGGAAGAGGCAGAGGTGGGATAGGGAAGAAGAGGTGGCGCAGAAGAGGGGCAGAAGAGGAGGGGGCGGTATACACTTCCTCGTCCTTGTTCTAAAAGATCTCAACCTTCCTTCCACCACCCCTTCCCCCTCTCACACCCACCTCGTGCTGCTGCCTCTGTGTGCTGCTAAACCCCACGTCTCTCTCTCCTGCCACTTGAGCCAAATCCGTCCGCATGTGCACATTCACCCCGCCCTCCCCCTCCCCGCCCTCCCCTTCCCCGCCCTCCCCTCCCCTTCCCCGAGGTGACTTTTGAGTGACTCATAAGTCACTCCGTCCGCATGAACTTCACCCCGCCCTCCCCCTCCCCGCCCCACTCCAACGCCCCCTTCCCGCCCAACCCGCCTTTCTCTTCCACACACCCACCTCGTGCTGCTGCCTCTGTGTGCTGCTGAACCCCACGTCTCTCTCTCCCGCCACTTGAGCCAAATCCGTCCGCATGTGCACGTTCACTCCCCCCTTCCCCGGATGCCACTTCCCCCACCACTCCCAAACGCTCCTCCCCACGCCAGCCGCTCTTTGGTCCTCCTCATTAGCCCCTCCTTGGCCATTCTTTGATTCCCTCTCCTCCCTGTTCTCCCTCTCCTTCTCCCTCCCTCTCTCTCGCTCCATCTGCTGCCGTCGCCGCCTCTCCCAGGTGTGCGGGTCGAGAAACGGGTCGTGTGTCTGAAACACGTGGTGGTAACGACTAGCTTCTGCTCGAAAGCTGGTGTATGGAGAAGGAAGGGAGGGGGGGGGGGGGGTGGGGGGAGGAGGGGAAGGAGAGACGAAGGAAGAGGGGTTGGGGAGTGAGGCGAACGTGGGAGGGCAGATGCGTGGGCAGATCAACAACGGGGTTGAGCGCCTGAAATACACGAATGTGAGGTCCCAACGGGGTGCTTGGCCGCATCGGCAGCGGGGGAAATGAAGCTCTTTGCAGCACGTGCCACGTGACATGTGGGCACATGGCACATGGCACATGGCACATGGCACATGACACATGGGACATGGCACATGGCACATGACACATGGGACATGGCACATGGCACATGGGACATGGGACATGGGACATGGCACATGGCACATGGGACATGGCACATGGCACATGGCACATGGGACATGGGACATGGGACAGGTGACTTACAGGGGGTAAGTGGCATCAGCTCCGGACTGGAAGAGGTCCCCGAGCGTGACGACGAGGCTCGGGGAGAACCGGAGCACGGAGGCTCGGAAGGCCCGGCGCAGGTAAAGGTCGTTGCGGAGGCGGGCGGTGATGAACTGCGCGTGCAGGGCGGTGCTTGGGAGGAGCTGGGGGGTGCGGGGAAGGGGGGGTGGAGGGGTGTGGGGAGGGTAGGAAGGTGGATTCTGAGCCTGGTAGCAAAATGGTAGAGGCCGTTGCAGAGGCGAGCCGTGATGAACTGGGCGTGCAGGGCGGTGCTTGGGAGGAGCTGTTGTGGGGGGGCAAGCAAGGAGATGGGGGGGAGACCAGGAAAGAGGTGGAAAAGGGCAGGCGAGGGTCGTTGCGGAGGCGGGCTGTGATGAACTGGGCGTGCAGGGCGGTGCTTGGGAGGAGCTGTTGTGGGGGAGCAGGGGGGAGGGGATTGGTGAGGGGGAGTGGGAAGGAGTCAGGAAATCTATTGTCAACAGGAGTTGAGAGGAGTTGAAAGGGGTTGTTGATTGGAAGAGGTTTCAGATCGGAGGAAGGTGAAGTGAAAATGGACCAAGCGTTGGGATTGAGAGACACGGTGAGACATCAGTTGTCATGTCAATAACGCGTATGGGTGATGATACTAACGCGTGTAGTGTGTATACCATGCAATTCGGTAGCAAGTGATGTGTTACAGCGTATGGAGTGTACTGATAATGTGTAAGGAGTGTAGAGCCTACCTTTGGACTGTTGATGACTGCAATGGTCTTGTATTCCTTGGGAGGAATGTACTGACCCTGGAATTACAACACGCAAAGAAAATAAATTGCAAAGTTTGCAGAACGTCAGGTTCCAGTTGAATGGATGTCACTTTTGAGTCGACTCAAAAGTAACCTTGTTACAATGGTGGATATGCAACCTGTCACTTTTCTGATTTCCAGTGGATTCACAAGCAAGGGGGTGTGCTTGGAGAAGTAGCCTCTCGAATGAGCACCAGGCGGTTAAGCTTAGAAGCCGCTAAACATGCCGCTTGATCCCCACCACACCACCTGAACATCCACCTGTACGTCCGCCTGAACATTCACCTGAACATCCACCTGACACACGCACTTACCTCAATACCCATCTGGAGCACTCTCTTGGAGCAGCTTGGGCGGCAAAAGCTAGAACTGAATCCACTCGCTGTAGAGCCGGCTGACTGCCCCACACGACGCCGAGCACCGGAACATTCACCGAAACATTCACCTGAATACTCACCTGAACACTCTCGTCCGGCCACGTGGAGCAGCTGGGCGGCCGAAGCCAGAACTGAATCCACTCGCTGTACAGCAAGCTGATCGCCCACACGACGCCCAGCACCGTCGCCAGCACCCATTGCGCCATGGATGCCGACGACGACCTTTCCGCGGTAACGAATCCGCTGTAAGGAGTCCGCTTTTACGACTCCGCTGTAACGAGTCCGCTGTAATGAGCACGTTTTAATGTATCCGCTGTAACGATTCCACTGTAACGGGTCTGCTGTGAACAGCGTTTCCGGAAAGAGTCTACGAATGCAGACGACGGATGAGAGTAACCCTAGAAGGATGGGTTTGGATTCCCGGCTCTCGAGCTTTGCCTTGTTATGGGAACTCCCGGAAACAAACAGACAGGCTTCTAGCTATCTAGCGATCTATTCTAAGAACCGTGTGACAGCCATAACGGGACTGAACCGCAACTTCCTACGAACAATGCGTGCTCGCTTCGCTAAACCCGTTGGAATCGGGAAATCAGAATTGAACAATTTGAACTTAGGTGCCAAATTTGATGAATTCATGAAGTTGGGGAGGCGAGGCAACACACGCAGGTTTGTCTGACAGCCTTGGGAATATCGAATGTGTCCTATAATAACAAACGCGATATGAAACATATCTGACTGCAAATGTGGAAATGATTGAATTTCATTGTACAAAGGAGTATTGATCGCTTCTAAACCCGAAATGCTCTATAACTTTTGAAAACCACCCCACAACGCTTCTCACTGCTAGCTACCAGGATTCTGTTTTAATTGCTAATGACCTAGAATATTTTGCACAAAATTTCCCTTGTCAGAAAAGATGTATAGAAGAATACAAAGCCCCTCCACCACTAGATTGGGGGGCAAAGCTTCTACCGAGCAATTTGCTCAGCAAGAAGCAAATAGATACAGAGATCAATCAAATAGCTTCACAAATCTACACTGGAGCAAATCAATCGTAAGTTTCTCGTTCCCGATTCTCAGATGCTTCTCCTTGCTTTTTCTCGGAGCTTACAAGCTACCAAGCAATAGCCATTGGCAGCAGGATTGGGCTAGGTTCGGACGATTTCACCGAGGCTGTGGGCGTAAGTACGGACATTGGGCTTTTACCCAAACCAGCCATCTGTACGAGCAGCTTCTCCGAATCTAATCCCATCAGCTCCGCGATCGTTCGCATCCCATGAGGAACCTCCTGCGGCTCGGCAGCGTCTGTGCTTGGCACCCGAGGAGCAGGTGATGTGAGATCATAGCCAGAGCTTTCGGCGGTGGACGACTGCAAGGAAAGGAGCACGGGGTAGACCGCTGGTCCGGGAAGCGCGGCGCTGGTTGCGGCGGAAGGCGCGGGGAGCGCGGGGAGAGAAGGGCGGAAGAGTGAAGAGACGAGGGAGGACCAGAGGAGAGAGGTATCGACGACGCACACGCACCCGTCCCTGTGGCTACGCTGCTTCCGGCCCAAACTGTACACTGCGCCGCGCTCGCTGCTGCCTGCGCTGCTCGCGCTGCTCACGCTGCGCCCACTATCAGAGCTGCTGCTACTAGGGAAGAGGCGCATATCGGAACTTCCCGAAGACGAGAAGGAGGAGGTTGAGAGCGACGCGTCAGATGCGCGAACAATCAGCGACTCGAGTTTTGAGGGATTTGCTTTCGGCTCCTCGCTTACGGGATTGCTCAGCGGAATCTCCGTGAACGCGTCGGACCGGCTCGCCTTCTCACCCGCCGCTACCGGCGCCTTCGGTTCGTACTTCTCGTACACGATCGGCGTGGGGAGGTCGTCCCATACTCTGTGCCGCCTCCGGCGCTGCTGCTTCTTCTGCGGCTGCGCGGGCTGCGGCGCCGCTACGCGCTTCGGCGGCTGGTAGAAGTACGGAAGCGGGGAGGGGGATGGCGGAGGCGGGTTGAAGACCGGGATTTGGAGCATGCTGGGGCGCGGGAGTTTCCCGAGAGGCGGGTGCGGGTTGGGCATGGCTTGCTCCTCCTCCTCGTATGATTCGTCGAGAAGATATGAAAGACGCGACGCCCAGTATTGAGCCATTTAAGATCGCTTTGGATCGGCTCTAAATAAGTTAATCGCGACGCTAGCTTGCTTCGAGAGACTCTGGAGTTTGGAGATTCGGGTTCTAAGAGCCTCAAAAGTCCACGACTGCTCCTGAGATGCCTCACGATGCGACTCAACACACAAGAGTATTGAGGGAAATGTGGGGATCTAGGTCGACTAGGCTCGTCGAGACGGGACAGCAAGATGCAGTACTTGTGTTGCGCAGAGCGGAGTGCCTTTACAACAAGTCTTGGTGTGGAACTTTTTTCTTCTCGCTTGAAGGGCAACAGAGAGATAAGGACGGTGCTAGACAATGCCTTGGTCTCCTGAAATGGAACGATGGCTTTGATGGAAAAATATTTCGTAAAGAATTTATTTGTAGGGTCCAGCAGCAGAACAGGGTACATGCGCCCCCCATTGGCCAACAACGCTCACGTCCTCCAACCCCACACAACCACTGGCGTTTCCCAGGGGCCAATCTCGCGGCCGACAAATTCGGTTCGGCCTCTGTTGCCACGCCGAGTCGGTCACCAATCAGCGTACCCTCTTGAGCCATCCGATCTGACCAGGAACATTTGCTTCCACGAGCCGCGCATGCGCTTGACCCCGAACCGCGGGGATGCTGTTCACTGATGCTTTCCAGGAGAGCCTTTCTGCGGCGCGGTTGGATCTGCCAGGGGGGCTCAGGTGGGGACCTGCGTTCTTGGGGGAGCTGTAACAGTGGCACTTGAAGCGGACAGCGGGTACTCGCGGCTCGCTTCAGGTGCCTCCAGGGCCCTGCTGTTAGCCAATGAGTGCAGCTGCTTCGCTCCAAACATTGTGGAAGGTGCCACCCATGAGTGAGGAGGAAATGCCAACTTTTCATGCAGCTGGCCTGCTGGTTTGGGTGGTTTTTCATCCACATCCTCACATATTCTTGGTGATGACGAGTCGCAGGTAGGTTGACCTTCTTTCGCAATTTCACACAAAACGAAACCGTGAGCGTGTGATTCGGCCATCTGGTTGTCGCAAGCAGGTCCCTGCTTCAGGCAAGAAGCTCGCGAATTAGATTCCCGCATAACCCTGTATTGACGGATTCAGGGAATTGCGAGGCACCAGGTAACAGCAGACTGGGAATGTAAGTGAAAATACACTTTGGTAGTAAATTAAATCTCTGATTGGAGCTGTGTGTGAAATGTACACAAACCAGCTTTGGTCAAGGATGAATACAAGGTTACAACCAACTGTCCCAACCAGCAGTGTCCCACATCTGATGAGATTGCATAGCACCTGCGTTTCTGCTAAACAAGGTGCTAAGCTAACCCTAATCTCCAACTGTTTGAAATCTATCATTCCTGACGACCAATATAGGAATGAAACATCAGTATAAATCAATTTGATTGAGATGCTGCATGTCTGATGCGGCATGCAGGGGAAAATGGTAGCAGTGCAACAGCTGCTGCTGCCACTGTTCCAGTGACCATTTCTGCAGCTGTAACTGCTGCTCTAAGCCCCACCACCTATTGCTGCCTCCTCCCAAGGTTTAGGTCTTCTGTAAACATCCAGGCCTTCTGCTGCTGCCTACCTCCAGCTTACAACCTTCCTTCATCTTGATTTCCTCACTTTCTCTCGCTCTCCTCAGCAGCTTTACCCACTTCTCCGGCTTACCTTCTCCAATGTCACTTCCCTCCTAACTACTACCCTGCAGTTGCATCCACATAGAAACACAACACCTTCCTCCTCTCACACTCAGAGAAAACATGGGATCATTTTCACCCACCTCTGCAGTGCACTAATTGGGAATGAAACCGTTCGTCACCTCAAACATTCCTGTTCCCCTTTCTCTCCTCCATCCTCCCCTCTGTTTTCCCCCTCGTTTCCTTTCTCTCCCTTCCTCTCCTCCTCTGCCTTCCTATCCTGCTCCTCGCGCTGCTCCAGCATCAGCTTCCGCCGCTCCACCTGCTGCAGCAGCCCGTCCAGCTCGCTCGACCGCACAGGCTTGGTCAGAAAGTGGTCCATGCCCACCTGTGGTTGGGGTGGAGGTAGGGTGTGGATAGGTAGGAGATGGTAGAAAGGGTTTCAGGCTTCCGCCACTCCACCTGCTGCAGCAGCCCGTCCAGCTCACTCGACCGCTCTCCCGCTTGGTCAGAAAGTGGTCCATGCCCACCTGTGGTTGAGGGTTGGGGTTAGGGTGGAGATAGGAGAAAAGGTGTTGGGTTGGGGCTGGGGTGGGGGTAGATAAGAGGTGGGGTTGGAAGGGGGAAGGGGAAAGGGGGAAGGGGAAAGGGGGAAGGGGGGCTTTCATCGCTCCACCTGCTGCAGCAGCCCATCCAGCTCGCTCGACCGCACCGGCTTGGTCAGAAAGTGATCCATTCCCACCTGTGGTTGAGGGTTGAATGTGCAGGGGAAGAGATGATGAGAAGGATGGGGAATGGGGAGGGGGAGAAAGGAGGACGGGGGGAAAGGCGATGCTGCATGTGCCAACCACCGAACCACTCACCTCGGTGCATCTCAGCCGTTCGTGCATGAGTGCACTCGCAGTGAGAGCCACGATATACGGCCGCTTCCGCTTCGACCCGCTTCCCTTCCTCCGTGTATGAAGTAGTGTTTTGAGAAGTCTCAAAACCGATCCACTCACCTCGGTGCATCTCAGCCGTTCGTGCATGAGTGCACTTGCTGTCAGAGCCACGATATACGGCCGCTTCCGTTTCGGCCCACTGCCCTTCCTCCGCCGCCCCTCCTCCCCATCCCCCTCCCTCTCCTGACCCCCCTTCCCAACCCCCTCTCTCACTTCATCTGCTGCTTTACTCCCCCTACCACCAACCCCATTCGACTTGTCCTCATCCATGCCTTGACTACTGGGCTTGTCTTTGCCACTGGGCTTGGCACCAGTATCAGTATCTGCTCCCCCATCTACCGATTTAGCCCCGCTGCTCCCCTTCCGAACCGACTTGTCTTCATCCATGCATGTGGCACCATGTGTAGCGTCAGCTGCCGCCAAAACTGTAGCGGCAGCTGTAGCAGCAGCTGTAGCTCCAGCTGTAGTGGCAGCTGTAGCAGCAGCTGTAGCGGCAGCTGTAGCTCCATCTGTAGCGACGGCTGTAGCGGCGTCGCCAGCAGTTTCCCAGACGGTGGGAAGCTCCCGGATCTTCTGAGTGGCGATGAATCCGTCCATTACTGGCATGTGGCAGTCCTGCGAGGGGCGGGAAGAAGATGGTGGGGGGGGGGGGAAGAAGGAATGAGGGGAAGGGGAGGCGGGATTTGAGCCACCATACATGTCTTATTTTGGATTTTCCGATTGATTGAGTGTGAGTGAGTTAGCACACACCAACTACCTATGACAACCAGGCCTTGTTATCAGACGCCCTGATTGAAAGAGTGTCTGAGGGAGTGAGGGAGTGAGCGAGCGAGTAACCCTACCTACCATGAATACCACGTCGTAGTTCTTTTTGCTACCCCTGAGAGTGAGTGAGTGAGGGACTGAGTGAGGGAGTGACTGTGGGAGTGAATGAGAACCACCACTCACCATGAACACCACATCGTAGTCCTTCTTTTCGCGCGCCCGCAGCGCCTCCTCCCCATTGGAAGCCACATCCGACACCTCGCCCAGCCCCCTCAGCATGCGCACCACCACCATCTGGTTCACCTTGTTGTCCTCCGCCATCAAGCACACAACTTGCTCTAGCTGGCCCTTGAGGGCTCTCAAGAACCCGTGGGCGAGTACTTGGGTGAGTGAGTGAGTGAGTGAGTGAGTGAGGGAGCGAGTAAGGGAGTGAGCAAGCAAGTACCCACCATGAACACCACATCGTAGTCCTTCTTTTCGCACGCCCGCAGCGCCTCCTCCCCATTGGAAGCCACATCCGACACCACGCCCAGCCCCCTCAGCATGCGCACCACCACCATCTGGTTCACCTTGTTGTCCTCCGCCATCAAGCACACAACTTGCTCTAGCTGGCCCTTGAGGGCTCTCAAGAACCCGTGGGCGAGTACTTGGGTGAGTGAGTGAGTGAGTGAGTAAGGGAGCGAGTAAGGGAGTGAGCAAGCAAGTACCCACCATGAACACCACATCGTAGTCCTTCTTTTCGCACGCCCGCAGCGCCTCCTCCCCATTGGAAGCCACATCCGACACCACGCCCAGCCCCCTCAGCATGCGCACCACCACCATCTGGTTCACCTTGTTGTCCTCCGCCATCAAGCACACAACTTGCTCTAGCTGGCCCTTGAGGGCTCTCAAGAACCCGTGGGCGAGTACTTGGGTGAGTGAGTGAGTGAGTGAGTGAGGGAGCGAGTAAGGGAGTGAGCAAGCAAGTACCCACCATGAACACCACATCGTAGTCCTTCTTTTCGCACGCCCGCAGCGCCTCCTCCCCATTGGAAGCCACATCCGACACCACGCCTAGCCCCCTCAGCATGCGCACCACCACCATCTGGTTCACCTTATTATCCTCCGCTATCAAACACGCCAGCCCCTTCCTCCTCCTCTTCCTCTCCTCCTCGCACCCCAACCCTAACCCTTCTCCACCCCCCGTGGAAAACCCCGGAGCAGCAGTGGGAGCGGCCGTGGCTGTGGCTGTAGCGGTCGCGGCAGCAGCAGTGCCAGACTTCACGCTTCGTGATCTGCCTCCGTATGTCCCTGCTCCTGAGGCATCGGCTGACGAACCTGCACACACAGCAGAGGTCAGGAGCAAAATCAGAAGCAGGGGGGATAGATAGAAAAAAACGGGAGATAGAGAGATTAGGGAGCAGTGGATGTGCGGCAGTTTTTGAGGCGCCTCAAAGATAGAGAGATTAGGGAGCAGTGGATGTGCGGCAGTTTTCGAGGCGCCTCAAAGATAGAGAGATTAGGGAGCAGTGGATGTGCGGCAGTTTTTGAGGCGCCTCAAAGATAGAGAGATTAGGGAGCAGTGGATGTGCGGCAGGCAGCGATAACAGGTGAAGGAGGTCGTTTGAGCGTGACGCGCCTCTGCCTCCCCCTTCCCATGTCCGCGCTCAAGATGCGTCAGTTTCTTACTCGAGTCAGCCCCCACAGCCCATGAACCGACACAGATAGAGAGAGAGAGTGAGATACTGACCCGCCAGTGAGTCCTCTCTGGCCATGAGTTATGAGACGTTTAAAAAATGCGTCAGTTTCTTAGTCGAGTCAGCCCCCCCAGCCTATGAACTGATACAGATAGAGATAGTTAGAAACCCACCTGCAAGAGAGTCGTCTCGGGCCATGAGCCCGCCGTTGCCAGCGAGCGCACAGAGCTGTGCTGTGGAGACGGGGAGCTGGATGGTGAAGGCGAAGGTGGAACCCGCGCCCACTTGGCTGCTCACGTGAATGTCTCCCCCCATGAGGTTCACCAGCGACTTGGAAATCGCCAGGCCCAGCCCCGTGCCCCCGTAGCGACGAGACGTGGAGGCGTCGCCCTGTGAGTGGGGTGGGGGGTAGGGGAGTGTAGGGGGTGTAAGGGGGTGCAGTGCAGTGCAGTGCAGGATAAACAGGCAGGCAGGGCTAGCCCCGTGCCGGCGTGACCCCATTGCAGCGTTCATGCAAGTCAACGCCCGTACCTGCATGAAGGCGCGGAACAGCCGGGAGCACGCCTCTTGACTGATGCCCATGCCAGTGTCCACCACACAGAACGTTATCCACACCTTCTCCTCCCCCTTCTCCCTTTCCCCTCCCTCTTCTTTTGAGTCAATTCATTAAGAAAGGAAACCCTAAATCGCTCATACCTGCATGAAGGCGCGGAACAGCCGGGAGCACGCCTCTTGGCTGATGCCCATGCCCGTGTCCACCACACAGAACGTTATCCACACCTTCTCCTCCACATTCTCCCCCTTCTCTCCTTTCTCCCCCTTCTCACCCTCCCCCTCCTTCCCCTCCTCCCCCTTCCCCTTCCCTTGCTCCTCCTCCCCCTTCTCTCCTTGCTCAGCCGTAACCCCTCCATTTCTTCTGCTATTCTCTCCCTTCCCAATCTCGCCTCCTTCCCGTCCCTCACCTCCTGCATCTCTCCTATCAACCACACCCCCGCCCTTCTCCTCTCTGTCGCTCTCCCCGAATTCCGCGTCTTCTGAGTCGCCCTCCGTCTCCTCCCGTCTCCCTTTCCTCCTCCACTCCTCTCCCCTCCCCTCGCTCCCTCTATCCTCCTCCCCGCTCCCTCTATCCTCCTCCCCGCTCCCTCTATCCTCCTCCCCGCTCCCTACCCCTCTCCGCCCGTCCCCCTGTCGCGCCATACACTCCCCTGCTGCCCCTGCTGCTTCTTCCCCCTTCACCCCCGCTGCTGCTCCCCCGTCCCCCCTCTCCCCCGCCCCTGCTGCCCCATGCACGCGCCTGCGTTTCGCGCTAGGTTCCTCCTCTACACTCCCAAAATCAGCCTTCCTGGTAACACCAGCATCCCCCAAACCCTTTCCTCCTCCCGCTCCGCCCGCTGCTGCTGTTGCTACTGCTGCTTCTGCTGCTGCACCTGCTGCAGCTACCGCTGCTCCTACTGCTGCTCCTACTGCTGCTCCTGCTGCTGCTCCTACTGCTGCTCCCGCTGCTGCTCCTGCTGCTGCTTCCGCTGCTGCCCCTCCTGTCTCTCTCTCTCCCTTTGCTCCTCCTCCTCCGCCTCCGCCTCCGTCCTCACCTGCTGCTGCGTCCGCGCCCTCTCCTGCAGCAGCGGCGGCAGTAGCAGCTCTAGTCTTGCGCACGCGCGCGACCTCGTCCTCTGTGGCGCGGCGGATCACGATTTGAATGCCGCCACTGGTGGGAGAAGAGGGGAACGAGAGGAGAGGAGCACCTTTTGAGCAGAGCTGTAAGTTACATTGTCCTCTGGTCTGGTCTCAAGTGGATCCAGTCAGAGCCCACGTCAAAAGGGATGTTGCAGGCACTAACGTTGGGAGTAAGCGCACCTCTGGGTGAACTTAATGGCGTTGGAGACGAGGTTAAGAATGATCTGCCTCAGCCGCCCGAGAGAGAGGCGGAGGCCACTCAACCTTGGCCAAATTCAAAGCTAACCCACTTGAGCATGAACGGGGGCGGCCAACGCACCTCTGGGTGAACTTGATGAAGTTGGAGACGAGGTTCAGAATGACCTGCTGCAGCCGTCCCAGAGAGAGGCGGAGGCAGAGGCAGAGGCTAGTCATCCCTAGGCAATCTCATAGCTAACCCACTCCAAACCTAAACGGAGCGCCAACGCACCTCTGGGTGAACTTGATGGAGTTGGAGACGAGGTTCAGAATGATCTGCCTCAGTCGCCCCGGGTCGCCCCTCACGTAGCGCGGCACGTCCGGAGCCACTCGGCTCTCCAACTGCCAGGTCAGATCACACACAGAGGGAAGGACAAAGAAGGAGAAAGAAGGAGAACACGTCTCGAGACTGAATAGACTTTTTTTTTTTCCAGACCAAGGGGAAAGCGAGTGCCACCCACCACATACCACCAGCACCTGGTGCACCCCGGTACCAACAACCCAGGCCATATGCCACGCTCTACAGGCCCAGACAGAGGAGCAACCACCACTTCACCCACCACCGCTTAGAACCCATAAACAACCCTTAGAACCCACCAGCAGTCCCTTCTCTGAGGCAGCAACACACAGCAGCGCCGTGGCCTCATTGATGCGCGTCTCCAGGCACAAGGCGACGTTTGTCAGACACAGACAGAGGAGCACCCACCAAATTTCCCACACCACAACTTAGAACCCATATACATCCCTTAGTACCCACCAGCAAACCCTTTTCTGAGGCAGCAACGCAGAGCAGCGCCGTGGCTTCATTGATGCACGTCTCAAGGCAGAACGCGACGCTCTCCAGACCCAGGGATTGCGATTCGATCTTGGAGAGATCCAGCACGTCGGATATGATCCGCAGTAGATTGTCTCCAGAGGACCGGATGATCTCGAGGTACGAGCGCTGCTCCACTGTGAGTGGCGTGCGCAGCAGCAGATCCGCCACCCCCAACACGCCTGCAGGAAAGGTGGGGCGGGTGGGACAGATAAAAAGTACAATCTATGAACAGGGCGCGGATGATCTCGAGGTACGAGCGCTGCTCCACTGTGAGCGGTGTGCGTAGGAGGAGATCCGCCACTCCCAGCACACCTGCGGTAGGCAAAGGAGGAGAACAAATGAGAGAGTTTCAGCAACCATGGGTCACAGCACATCATGGCATGCTAAGCATGATTGGCAGCAGGTTGCCTCCTGACGACCGGATGATCTCGAGGTACGAGCGCTGCTCCACTGTGAGCAGTGTGCGTCGGAGGAGATCCGCCACTCCCAACACGCCTGGAAGTGGGGTGGGTGGGAGAGGGAGGGGGTCAGAAGCGAGAATGAGGATGGTGATATGATCTGCAGCAGATTGTCTCCGGCGGACAATCCGGTAGGCAATCCGGACCGGATGATCTCGAAATACGAGCGTTGCTCCACTGTGAGCGGTGTGCGTAAAAGGAAATCTGCCACTCCCAACACACTTGCGGTAGGCAAAGGAGGAAAAGGAGTGAAAAGGTTTAGCAACCATGGCCCATCATGGCATGCAAAGAATGATCCACAGCAGATTGTGCGGTTGAGGACAACAAGAGATAATCTGTGCTGCTCCAATATGCGTGCACACACACACACACACACACACACACACACACACACACACACACACACACACACACAAGCACACGCACAGCAACGGGACGAACGAGCAATCACGAACCGTTCATGGGCGTGCGGATCTCGTGGCTCATATTCGCCAGGAACAGGCTCTTCGCTTCGCTCGCCGCCTCCGCAGCTTCCTTAGCCTTCCTCAACACCTCCTCCTGCCGCTTAATCTCCGTCAGATCATGCCAGTTCGCCACAAAAAACTTATCTTCCCCAACCGCCACGCACTGCACGTGAATCTGCACCGGCACCTCCGTCCCATCCCGCGCCAGGTGCACCCAGTTCAGCACCATCTGCCCCTTCTCCACCGTCTGTCTCCCGATTTCCAGCGCAAGAACTTCCGAGAGCTGCCCGTCGGGCTGTCGGATCGGCGAGAGTGGGTTGGAGTAGCCTGGGGTGGCCATGGCGTGGGAGAGCGCGGCTTTGGAGGGGTACTTGAGGGTGCGTAGGGCGGAGAGGTTGCACTCGAGGAGGATGTGGTCCAAGTTGTAGATCAACACCGGGTCCTGTGGGTAAGGGAGAAGAAGAGAAGGAGAGGGAAGGGAAGGTGAGGGAACGGCTTTGGAACATGGTGACTGAGGTCGTAGGGCAGAGAGGTTGCACTCGAGGAGGATGTGGTCCAAGCTGTAGATCAACACCGGGTCCTGTGGGTAAGGGGGGAAGAGCAGTGGGGTGGGGGGGCAGGGGTGGGGGGGCAGGGGTGGGGGGATCATCATTCGGTCGCAGGCCAGAGGGTTGCACTCGAGGAGGATGTGATCCATGTTGTAGGTGTAGATCACCACCGGGTCCTGCAGGTATGAAGGAGGAGGGCGGGGGTGGGCGAAGAAGGAGGGGAAGGAGAGGGCGGGGAGGATTGGCTTTGAAAGAAAGGGACTACCGAGTCACAGAGTAGCGGGGTTGCACTCGAGAAGAATGTGATCCATGTTGTAGGTGTAGATCACCACCCGGTCCTGCAGGTATGAAGGAGGAGCAGGGGGGTGGAAAATCCTTGGAAAAAAACATGCCGTTTGGTTTAATAAGTTTCGATGAAAACGTAGAGGGCTCTTTCTCAGCCACCGTTGACTGGTGCTCTTGGATAGCTCCAGCTCCTTGTACGTCTGATTCATCTACAAAAACACCCTCTTTCTGAAGGGTGTTTCTCAAACACTCCCGTCACCCACTCACCGCTGATTTCTGCACCATCTTCTTGAACAGCTCCAGCTCCTTGTACTTCCTTAAAAGCAGACTCGCTGCTCTGTACGACCACTCCAAAACCTGCTCCTCCACCGGCTTAGCTACCACACAAGTCGGCTTCGAACCAGCTGCATCTGCATTGGAAGGCGATCTGACAGCTGTGCCGGCAACCGCATTGGGAGACGTTACATCAACAGCTGCAGTTGCAGCAGCTGCATCAGCTGGTGCTTTAGCGGTTGTGTTAGCAGTTGCGTCAACAGCCGCGGTGGTAGCAACCCCAGCAGCAGTTAGCCCTTCACCAGTAGCACCAGAAGAAGCACAACTCCCCTTTTCCACCCGTTTTGCGTCCACGACACCACTGCCCACGTGGGCCTCGTCCACGTGGAGGTTGTGCACGTGTCCGGGTGATGATCCGTGGTTGTCCAGATGGCTCAGGACATTTAAACCGGAGTCCACCACTTCCTCCAACGCTGCACCACGAAAAAGACCCTGGTCCTTCCCGCATACGTCTGGGCTTAGGTGCTCCGGGATCAGGGTTTTGATTTCTAAGCTTTTCTCCTTCTCCTTCTCCTCCTGCTGCTGCTGGGAGTCTAAAGTAGGAGAGAGTTTCTCCGGGTCGTTTGGTTCGGAGTCCAGAGCGCTGGCGCAGCGCACGAGCTGTAGAAGCAGTTTGAATAAAAGCTTCTGGAAGGGGGGGAAGGGGAGTGGGGAGGGGGGGGAACGACAAGACGGTGGGACTGGAGGGCGGATTGAGGGTTTGTGCGGGTAGTTTGGTTCGGAGTCCAGAGCACTGGCGCAGCGCACGAGCTGTAGAAGCAGCTTGAATAGAAGCTTCTGGAAGGGGAGTGGGAGCGACAAGAAGTTGGGACAGGAGGACTGGATATTGAGGGTTTCTGTGGGTGATTTTGGCTCGGGAGAAAGGACAATGGTGCGGGGAAAGGGAAGAGAGAGAGAGAGAGAGAGAGAGAGAGAGAGAGAGAGAGAGAGAGAGAGAGAGAGAGAGAGAGAGAGAGAGAGAGAGAGTCGTTGTGATGGTGGAGGGAAGTAGAAAAAGTTGCAATATGATTCTTCTGAGAGGTAGAAATTGCTGCAAGCATACAAGCAAGTTAAGCATAGGTGATCAGAGCAGCACCCTTGCAAACAATACTTGATGACTGCTGGCGAATAAAAGAGAAAACGACAGAAGAAGCAACGGATGAATGAAGATATTGCACACAGAAATCTATGTTGGGCAAGCAGCGATTGTGAGAAAAGCGAAGCAAATGAGGCAAAAGCAAAAGCGGCAGGAGAGGAGTGAAGTGCCACACCATTTCATAATTTTGGTGTGAATTTCTCGTTATTGTCGCGACCACGAACCCTTGCCCCTCCTCCGAATCATCTTGAAACCACTGGAAATTAATCGACGCGGAAACCCGCCCATCGTCCGTTTTCCGCCCGGATCTCTGTTCCACACCCGGAAACTTCGGCGGACGTGGCTTCTTCGGTCCATATGGGGTGCCTTTGCAGAGCGGACTTTGAAGTTCCCTAGAAGAAAGCTGCTCAGACGACAGCGGCCGCGCGGCGTTTCCGCCAGCTTCGGTGGCTGTCGGTTCCGATCGGTTTGCCGGATGTGAATCGCGTAGCGCATCTTGCGACACAGCAGTAGAGAAATGTGCGATTCGAGTAGGGACACGGCGTGCGCCCGCCGCCGTCTCGCCGTCACAAGGGGAGATTAAGCGCGGGAGATTTCCCGCCTGGTCCTCCCCGTCTTCGGAAGCATTTAAACCGGTGTCAACCGCTAGTCTATTATGTTTCCTTGAACCGCGGACCAGCTTTCCGCAATGCCTGCAGCATTCCATGCCCCCTTTTTCGTGAACAGTGGTAGCATTAAACGCGCTTCCATCGCGAGGTTGCCGCTGACTGAGACAACTAAGACCACCTTCGAGAGTTAATAGCTCGCCTTTTTTTCGCGACAATGAAGCAAGCGCCTTACACCAATCGATATGGACCTCACTAAAGGTTTTGGCGGGAATAGTACACGGTTTGATGGTTCCAAGCGAAGGGGAGTCGGGAGTGAAAAGTGCAGAGATTTGGAGGTCGAAAAGATAAGCTTCGCAGCAGGTTCCTAAAAGCGCGACGGCGGGCCTACTCGCAGCGACGACTCGAAAATCGGACGCAGATAATACCAGCTGTGCGACCCCTAACGACTCCTTGATAAACCGATGAATGTCGTTGTTACCCATTGTTGGCTAATCCACTCCTAGTCGACGAATAGTGACTATTCAATGTCGACTAGATCTGAGTCGCCTTCATGCTGAATGCTGGACTTACGGAGAATAACTAATCGTCCAACGTTAGTACCAACGTAAGAATCAAGCACCGTTCGGGTTCAATCCAAAATCTTACGACTTTTCGTGGATCCTAGTAAGTCTAGTCGCACTGGAACTAACGTGGTGTGTGCATCGCCCGTTCAAGCCACGCACGAGCACACGCGCAGTCCCGAATCTGGTGTTTCAAGCTAGAACCAATTCTTAGACTGAAGCGGCATGCAACTCAATTGCAGATTGCCAATCTTATCTCGAGGGTCCCTAACCTACACTGCAGGGTAACGATTCTCGTCTGGTGTGCGGTAAGTGGTTGAGGGGGGGATATGGATGAAATCCAAGCTTCTAGCAGCCTAATGGAAGGACTTTACATCACAGCAGCCTACAGCATGCGGATAACGAAATCACATCGCATCGGAACGGAAACCCTCCTTGCAGAGTGGAAAAGAGAATGCAGGAAAGCCAATGGGCTGGTTGGGTGGTAGAAAGAGAAACAACCAAGACCATACGATCTTCGTGTGCGATGGATGGGACTGCTATGGCGGAAATCGACGGGGGTTGAGAAAAGACAGGAGGAAATGAGAATATAAGATGACAAGACAAGATCTAGGAATAAGGGAGAAACTGGGAGGAGAAAATGAAAGGGAGCTGTGCGAAGAATCAGATCCAAGATCCTGAAATCAGCATCACCTCGATTTTGACCTCATGCAGAGGCAAAAATGGTGGTGTGTTGCGTGGAGCTAGGAGAACGAAGGTGGCGGAGAGGGAGGGAGCTGGCGGAAAGGGAGGGAGCTGGTTGAAAGAGACTGGCAGAGAAGGAACTGGCGGAGGGGAAACTGGCGGAAAGGGGGTCGGGTCGGGCGAGGGGTAGGGTAAGGATGAAGCCGTAAAAACGGCTTCATCGGGCAATCACCCGTCATAAATAGACACGTGGTCCCCATTAAGATAGGGTACTGGTGTCAAGTTCTTTATACACTGACAGGAAGTGCCGACACTGACCCGGACACTGGAGGTACGTACACCTGATGCGCGTTATAGTCCCCCGTCGTTCCCTTGTCCTCTGGGCTTATAACCGATCTGCGCATTTCGCATGGTTCGTCAACATCGCCTGGGCCGTTGGGTGCTTATAAAAAGCACAGGCGGTAACATGTTTGTTTTTTCCATGTATAGTGTTGGGCGGCGTCCTTTGTTGCGCGCTAATGCACTGGGTTACCACATTTATCGAGACCCAACTATCACATGCCATTACAATTCACCTCTCCCTTCATCACAAACATCAATGAACGAATGGGATAGCCACAACTGTCTCTGACGCGACAAACAAACAACCTCCCCAACCCCCCCCCCCCCCCCCTCCCCGGGCCTGCTGCGTTATGCAGTCACCGTTTACCACATTTGTGCATGAGTCGTGCACACTTGTGCAAATGCTGAATTTTGCACAATGCAGAGTGAATTTCACAGCCTCATCCACTCTGCCGCAGCGAGATATCCGCTCATCACGGCGGGAGCGCCAGCGTCGATAAGCTCCTGCCGGCGAGCAGATTGGGCAACCCAGTCAGGGGTCGGCACCGCCATCCACGCCGGCAAAAGGCGACCGCGGCGACGTGGAGTCTCAGCCGGCGGGGTGTCCTCGTGTGTCGGCGCTGGCGGCGGAGTAGCGTTAAGATTAAGTGCCGGGCTTGCACGCTCCATCCGCGCGATGATCATGGGGTTGCGGATGTCAAACAGCGCGCACAAATCTCTCGGCGTGATGCACGTCGCACGCGCGTACCCAATGAGCATCTCGCAGGCGGCGCGTGCAGTGCGACGAGCTTCGCGCGTCGCAGGGTTGTTATCGTCGTACACCGCTTGCGTCGCCGCCGGCGCCTCCCACATATTCGCCGTCTGCGCCGACGCCGGCTCCCGCGCCAGGGGGTCCTCGCCCGGCTCGGCGCACGTCGGCTGGTTGTCGTCAATTCCGACGAACTCGGAAGCAGGCAGCGCGGACGGCCCGAGGCCGAGTCGATCGATTTAAACGCCTACGTCGTTCAGCTCCTCGTCCAGGCCAATGTCACCCCCAGCCTGGACTTGTGAGTCGCCGCTTTGTTCCACGTGCGGGAGTTCCATCGCCCACGCCCGCGGTAGGCACTCGGTGCGCCACCAGCAGCGCTGGATAGTGACGTGCGGGATATTCATCCACGCGTCATGGAGCCATTCCAGCACGCGACGGAGGTTCGGCTTGAACCTTGCCGCCGCGGAAGTCGCGCCATCAGCAGTCCACATGCCGGTGAAGGCGCGGAGCCAGTGCTGGCGGTACCGCGCCTTCGTCATGGCGATCATCCCCTGGTCGAGTGGCTGCGTGAAGCAGGTGGTGTTCGGCGGCAGGTAGACGAGGCGCACGTTACTGAGCTTTCGCGTGCAGAACCCGAATAGATCCTCGGTTTCGGCGCCCTCGGTTGTCAGTGTGTGACTGCTCGCGTTGTCGAGCAGCACGACGACTTGGCGGCCCTCTGCGTACTGTGAAAACAAAGAACGAGAATGAATGATTATGAAGTGAAGTGAATACAAATAGGAAACCCTAATGTGTTGTACCCCCTATGGGATACCCCACTATAGCCTACACAAACAAGTAAGCTATATGTTCTGACACACCCCCATAGGGAAAGTGGGGGAGAACAAGGGGTCACAAGACCAGTCAAGCAACGCAAAGCAAAGCTCAGGGTGGATCACAAAGTCACCACGCATTCCGAGCACAAGTTCAAAGGCCACAAGGCCAGTTCACATGCAGGATCATATATAGAGATATACAAGAGCAAGAGTATATATATGCGAAGGTACAAGCAAGGTCAAGAGGAGAGCAAGTGAGGAAAGACAGGCACAAGACCCAACTGCGTGCAGCAACGCTGATGATCACAAGGCGCAAGTGCCTTGGTGAAGACATCAGCAGTGTTGGCCTCAGAGGCCACGTACGCAAGTCGCAGCTGTCCACGCTGCTGTAGCTCACGAGCAAGAAAGTAGCGAAGAGCAATGTGCTTCGTTCTGTGCTCCAGTCGCTGCTCTCGACACAAGGCCAGCATGGCCTTGTTGTCTACGTACAGGACTGGAGGAGAACGAGGCTGCTCTCCAAGGTCGGTCAGCAGGTAGGTGAGCCAGCGTAACTCCTGTGCAGCCATAGCCCCAGCGTAGATCTCAGCCTCACAACTGGAGCCGAGAACAGAAGACGAGCGGGTAGCCCGCCACGAGACAGAGCCGGAACCAAGGCTGAAGGTGTAACCCTGTGACGACCGCTGCGTAGCCTGGTCGTCAGCCCAAGAAGCGTCTGCGTGCCCAGTGAGGACCACTGGACTGCGCCCTCCAAGCACTAGCCCCATGCCCGACGTACTGCACAAGTAGCGCAACACCCTCTTCGCTGCAGCCATGTGCTCTGGTCGGTGTCTCCCAGGAGCAACAAAGCGTGCGAGAATGCTAAGAGGGTATGCGAGGTCAGGTCGTGTGCAGGTCATCAGGTACATGAGGCAGCCAACAAGCTCTGCAAACGGGCCACTCGACTCTACGGACTCATCCGAAGGCAGAGCTGAGAGGGAGTGGCGAGTAGGCAGAGGAGTGGCCTGAGGCGAGGAGTACGTGAAGCCGAAGCGCTGAAGGACCTGCTGCACCATGTGTGACTGAGTCAGGGTAATGGTGCGGCGTGCTCTGTCCCGGGTGATCTGCAAGCCAAGGTAGCTGCGCAGTTCACCCAGGTCAGTGCACGTGTGTCTCTTCTGCAGCTCGGACTTCACGTAGGCGAGTCCAGCAGTGTCAGCTGTGGCAAAGACCAAGTCGTCGACGTACACGAGGATGTAGAACGGCGGCAGAGAGGTGTCGGTGCGCAGAAACAGCGACGGGTCGGCAGTGGAAGGAGCAAACCCAAGTGCCGCGAGCGTAGTCCTCAGTGTGTCGTGCCACTCACGTGGCGCCTGGCGGAGACCGTAGACTGGACGCCGGAGACTCCACTGGGTACCAGGAGGGAAAGACCCAGTGAAGCCAGG